ATCTCGGACTTCTCGCTGGCCAGCTTGTCACACTCCAGCTTCAGGCTGAGGCAGGGCAAGGGATGGAAGAGGGGGTCCCAGTTAGACGCCCCATTCGTTGTACAGGCGAATGGGTGAAAACAGGCTCCAAGGCCCTGGCGAGGGGCTACCCAACCAGTCCCAGGCAAAAGCAAGCTCATCCTGTCCCTGGAAGGCCCACCCACCGGCTCCGGCAAGGGACCAACTCAGCCGGCTGTGAGGCCCAGAGGTGTCAAACAGCACGCAGTTTCCCAGTGAGCAGCCAGTTCCCTAGCCCGATGACGTGGAGGGCGAAGCCAGCCTTTGCAGGCCCGGTGGTGGAAAAGGTGCCGATAATAAAACAGAACAACCAACAGCGCCGGCCCACTAGACAGGGTTTCTAGAACCTTCTACTCGGCTGTTCGACTGGGATTGGTGGTAGCATCTCCACTCTGTTTGACTCCGGGTGATGTATTAGGCGGATGATGTCAGGGACTCAGAGAGGGTGAGTAACTGGCTCAAGGTCACACAGCCAGGAAGCCAGAAGAGGAATAAATAGCAACAGCACTTGGGCTGGCTGATGACGGGACTGGGGCAGGGAGGGGACAAGGCTGGGAGTCTGCAGGCCCTGGGGTGTAAAGTAGGGGGGGCACTGGGCCAGTTAGAAGGCCCCAGACAAGCCTACCTATCCCTCCCCACAATGGGCTTTCTTTAGCTGGGAGAGATGGTTGACCTCCCCCTGGCTCCTGAATGCGGGTATCAGAGCAGGAGGAAACGGGTAGTGAGGCCAAAGACCTAAGGATTGGGGGAGGGTCCCCCAACTGGCTGTCCCTCCACGTCCATCATCACCGACTCCCCATTTCGGGAGAGCAGTGGGTTGAACTGGCTTCACAGCGCAGCCCCGTCACGCCGTCTGGCCCTGACAACCTTCCCCTATAGCGGGGCTTCACTTCCCTCCTCCGATGGGTGGGGATCATGACCAGGGCTCAGGGACTTCTGACAGGAAACCCCAGGGTACAACAAGCACCTAGTAAGGTCTGCTGGCTCTAATCGTCAGCCCCTGAGACCGCCCAGGTCATGACAGGCCAGACCCCAGACATGCTCCATAGCCGGGGTTTGTCCCCACACCTGCCCCAGTTTCTATCCTTTTAAAGGTGCATTAGTTGGCAACATTGAAACAAATTCATAGAGAGAGAGAAGTCATTTCACCCCAAGCTCTAGATCTCTCTGGATCCTTCCTTTTTGAGGGAAGGACCTGTCCTGCCTGGTCAACCCTGGGTGGTCCCCTGAGCTGGCAGAATGGACCCCAAACTACAGGCAGACACCCAAGGCTGAAAAAGGGGGTGGTCCAGCTTGGTCTCTGACATGGATCATGTGAGGTGGGCCAGGGATAAAGCTGCCAGCCCCTCCACATCACTGCCAGGGCCCCGGGGGCTACCCACCAAGCTGTCATTCCCCGCACCTGTTTCCACATCTCTAAAATGGGTGCAGTAACAGGGGCACAGGAAGGGCTCAATAAGAGTGTGTGTCCAGTATTTAGGATATGAGGAGCACCCCAAAAGGCTTTTTAAAATATCAATCAATCGTCCCCTTTATATGTGGCAGAAAAAGAGAAAAAAAAAAAAGCTCAAGAGCGCTTTTATGGGTCGAGGGCTGAGGCCCAGAGAGGGTCCCAGGGCCCCCTGGGATTTCTGGTCAGGTGTCCCCTTTCGCCCTGATAGCAAAGGAGTTTGGGAACCTGAATCCTTGGCCTGGAGAGGCTGAGTTTAAACCTCAGCTTCCTTATTCTCTTGCTGTGCACCCCCCTCCCCACCCCTCCTGACAGCTCCTAGCCTCTCAGTGCCTGCTCAGTGACTATCCGTTCCTTCCTTTTAGACCAGGCACATGGCAAAGTCCTTGAGAAATGTCAGAAGATTCAATTTGGTAAGCAGGGCCCCCTTTAAGAGTCTGTGGGAAGCCAGAAACCTGCTCCCCGAAACTGGGCAGAGAGGTAAGATAGGAAAGAAATCAATTGGGGATGGGGTGGGAGAGGCCAGGGGGACTCTTGGGGGTGGGAGGGCTCATCTCTGTTAATTCCAGAGACCCGGTGGTGTAGCGGTTTTGCACTGGGCTGCTAACCACAAGGTGAGCGGTTCGAAACCACCAGCTTCTCTGCAGGAGAAAGACCAGACTTTCTATAGAACTTCTCTACAGAATTACAGCCTATTAGGGGCACTGCTACCCTGACCTATAGGGTTGCTATGCAACAGCACAGGCTGTTGGCAGTGACTTTGTTTGAGGTCTTTGAAGGAGGCCTCCTGGGGATGTGGGTTAGACACTGAATGGCTACCTGCCAGGTGGGCCGTTCAAACCCAGTCTGGTCTGTGACAGAAAGAGGAGGCTGTCTGTTCCGGTTAAGAGTGTAGTCATTACTGAGTCAGAACTGACTGGATGTCAGTGGATTTTGCCCGGGGGTCTTTTACCTATTAGAGGTCGGTGGGGAGGGCTCTGCAGCCAGAAGGCTCGTGTTTTCTGTGTCTTGGTCCTCTAATCTGGGAAACGGGCCCGTTTGGAAGAATACACACTTGACTCTTGGTCAAACGCTCAAGCTGGAAACCAGCATGCGCTAAAAACCCAGTGTCTTTTGCTTTTGTTTTGTAAGTGCGTGTGTTTGAAGTACATGGGGGGAGGGAGGGGGAGCTTTGCAAAGACCGCCCACGCCAGCTCACCTGTGGTACTGGGCCTGCAGTAGCTGAAACTCATCTTTGATACGGTCGCAGGAATCGGAGGTGGTGAATTTGAGTTGTTGGGGGAGGTGCGAGGAGCCCTGTGGGGTGGGGGCTGCGGGTCAGGTCCTGGAAGGGGGTGGGGGGCTCCTTCCCAGGCCGCCAGGAGGCGTCAGCCACTGCAGCTGCAGCACCCCCCTCTTGGCCCACTTCCTGGGCCCGTGTTTACAGCC